ATTTAGACATGAAAGAGTTAACCGAGCGATTGGTGTCGTTATTGCTTACATTCGACCAAAAACGCAACTGTGTTTCTGTTTCAAAAGAGTGTCCGACGATAACAATACACCATAGACCAAGGAACAGTCAAAGCGCAAGAAAAGCCCAATAATTTTTTGGGATGCATACCGATTATCTTTAAAGGGGTGAAATGTTCATCGGAAAATATTATTTTGTTAGATTTGACATTGATCTGAAGCAAAGACGATGGCATTTGGCGAAGAAGACATTTTCTTCGCTTTACGTAACCGCCTCCCTCACCCATATTCATATAGCAGGCCAAGGACTGTCACTTCAGCATCATTCGCCGAAATCTCTTTGTGAAATTATAGGCTGTTAAAGCAACTATTTTAAGGACCTTGAAAAAAATTTTTACGATATATGTATATGGAAGGATTAAATTAAAAAATTGGAAAAATACTGGACTAAATGTGGGACCACCCTTGAGTTCGCACGTTTCTGATAAAAAGTAATAATCGAAAACGGTTCACGTGGTCCAAAGTTGTCCGTTGACATACATAAAAAAATCCGACGAATTGATAACCTCCTCCTTTTTTTGAAGTCGGTTAAAAAGGAAACTGTATTCAGAAATATAACGATTTTTTGTCGAAAAAATATCTTGCTCTTGTGGGGAACAACTGATAAATGAGCCCGAGCAAATCGTATTTACATACAAACAAAAAATCCTAAAAAATGTATATACATACATGTGTAACTTCCTCAACCCACAAATAGAATTAAAAAGAAATCATAAACGTAAATGTATACAACTTTGCTGGAAACAAATAGTCTACCAAGCTGCACATTTATGTACATATGTATGTATTTATGCTCATATAAATACATACACATACTCACCACACAATATCTGAGCAAAAAAAAAATCGGTCAAGGATTCTTTATTTTTACATTTGTTTAGCGAGAGTTTTGAAAATGTGGGCAGCGTTTAATTGTTGCTTGCGCTACAGGAATCAAGCGTTTCCTTTATTCATCGTTTACTTTTTTATTTGTACTATTGTCTGCGAAGTGTCTGCTATAAAAAGTATACATCTCTCGCATAGTAAAAGTAAAAATTTCATTATGTATGTATATACAATACAAAACTTTAAGTTCGGTACGAAATGGCAATAAATGCAAAAATATTAAAACTTTTGAAAAGGTAGCACACACACCACATCGATAAAAGCCTATCTATTATCAATAAACAAACAAAAGATATCACTAAATGAAAGTATAAAATGTTGATAAAAATTGTAAAAACAGATAAATATTTGTGTAAATATATACATATCATATGTATATATGTAGATTAAATATAATGAATATGTTTCACGTGGCCACACTCGCCGAATGTCAATAGAGCCTCGCCNTATGTATGTATGTATGTATGTACGTAGTATATTGTTTTCTGTTTGCAAACAAATTTGCATATGACTTTTTAGTACTTGTTTGACATGAATGTGGGGTGACAAAAAATAAATGTGAATGGGTGCGAAAAAAAGCTTGTAAAAAATAAAAATTTGTGTGGTAAAAAAGCCACAAAAATCACGAGCGAAAATATGCAAACTAGGTCGTTCATTGCCTTTTCGGTATGTTCACATGGATGATGTTTAGATGTAGTAGCTACTAGAAAAGTTGTGGTCGTGTGTATGAGTAGGTTGTTTACATACAAATTTGAATCTCTTAACTTTAATTAGGCGTCTTGCGTTTTAAAAGAAAACCTAAACGGATAAAAACACTTTTTGATGGCATTGACCTTTTAGGCATTTGATATTTGATTACATTTGTATGTACATTAGGGTTGTCCAAAATAAGTAAAGTTGGAATTTTAATGCTTTCACCCCCTAGGAATATTCTATATCGAAAAAATATACCACTATTTTTTACTTTGAAACCATAAAATATTTAGAGCTCACTCAAAGCGGTCAAAGTTTTCCGTGTATTTCATAAGGTGAAAAAACAACTTTTCGAAGAAATGGTATGGAATTTTTAAAAATTAATATTTTTAGATCGGAAAACTTCCGTTCTCTACAGGAGACTTCCAATAGCAATATCCAATTTATTTAACAATTTTTTAATACTAAACATTTTTTTATTTTTTTATTTTTGGCAGACCTATAAAATATAGTTACTATGAAAAAATGGTTAAATAAATAATTGGGTATTATAAGAAATCTCCTGAAAGAACCAGAGTTTTCCGATTGAAAAATACTGATTTTCAAGAACCATCTATACCACTTCTACGCAAAGTGGTTTTTTCCATTTAAAAAATGGACATGGAAAACTTTGAGCGCTTTGTGCGACCACTAAACATTTTTTATTTTCAAAATAAAAAATATAGGTATATTTTCTTCGGTATAGAACAAACACCGGGGGTGTGAGAGCATAAAAATTCCGACTTTACTTTTTCAAATGTATTTTTGGACCATTCTAATGTGCGTATGTATTTTTTTGTGGAGGGTGTTGCTGTTTTTATACCCGAGCGCACTTGTGCACAAGGGTATTATAACTTTGTTCACATAACGGTTGTTTGTAACAGGCAAAACGAATCGAGATAGATATAGACAAATGTATACATAAATGATCAGAATGAAAA